GTTTAAGATGAAGTGCATTCATGAAAATATTTAGAAACCTCTCTAAATTGTGCTGAATTGTGTTACGCTTCAGAAATGCAACGTATTGGTTCTCTTACTTATGAATCATGCAGTGCTAACCCGTTTAAAAAAATATGAGAAGTGCTAATAATTAGAGCTAATCCTATTTTATGTTCTAATGTCCCACAAAAATGTGCGATACTACTTTTAACTACTTTTTTCTTAGTTATTATATAGATGTCAAACGTTTTTAAATATTTGTAGGTAAAATGTACTCCTTACCATTTTGGTCATAATAAAGAGTAGTATTTTTTCAATGTTGTCTCATTGCAATTGAAATTACTAGGCTCTGTGTAAAGCAAAACAATTTATTGTCAGTTTTCATGATGTTTAGTTGGAGAGGTCATTAATCCTACTTTTAGGAGTGAGCTTGATGTTAATGGCAATTTCACTCTGAAACTCGTTAAAAGTCTGCGCCTTATCCACTGTTACAACAACACTCATGTCAATTATATGATATATGATGATAAAAAGGCTTACTACACCCAAGTGCAACATAAGACAACTTTAAGGTATTATCTTAAATAGGATCGGGAATGTTAAGTAATGGCTGAATAGTTTTCCTGAACAAGGCTTGTGTTCCAGGAGGAGAGATGTGCGGACAGTCACTCCATGGTTGGCGCCCATTGTCTGGGAAGGGACCTTTGACCCTTTTGTTATTGACAACATCTACAAGCCTCTGAACATCACCGTAGCAACCACTGTGTTTGCTGTTGGAAAGTAACAATTGGACTACTAAGTATTAGATAGTGATTTCATAATGAAACGGAAGCCATTATTTCTTTTATTTTTGTATTTGTGGGTGACTAATCTTCCTCTGGGTTTTCTTGCTTATGTAGGGTTGGCTGTCCTGCAACGTCATATCTTATTGCATCACACTACAGTACCTCTCCTCAACCATCCTCATAAACTCCATCTCTTTTTTCCATATTCCAGACTTTACCTACCTTTTTCTGTCCCTTTCTCTGTAACCTCTTCCAATTTCAGTCTTCTTTTCTCCATTCCTGATTCTGCATCTTCGCATCACCCTCACAAACGAAACGGCTGACGTGCGTAGGAAAAAAAGAAAGTCCCGCGTGAGAATGAAATTAAAATGGTTCCCTTGTGCTGAAATTTAGAAAACATACTTTATTCACAAAGTCCTTTAACATTCAGTCTTTCTACCTTCCCAGTCATAAATCAAGCCGGAAGACTAAAATATGGCATTATTAAGTTAAAAAAAGTTAAATTTGCAAAGCTTATGATTTCATTTTCTAGTAGGATGTACTTATAAAATATGCTATATAAAATAAGGATATAAATATCTACTAAAATAAATAATTTGACATCACAGATTAGCTTTGAAAGAAAAAAAATCTACTTTCAGCTAATGTTAACTCCTCCACATATTACTGATGAGCTCTGGCGCAGTAAGACTGTTCTTACACCTTGCCATTATGCTCTGTTCCAGGTATACTCGCTTCCTGAAAGCATTCCTGGTGACAGCAGAGAAGCACTACCTAGTGGGGTTCCGGGTTCAGTACTATATCTTCACTGACCAGCCTCATGAGGTGCCCAAGGTGCCCCTGGGTTCTGGGCGGAACCTCACTACCATCCAGGTGTCCAAACTCGACCGCTGGCAGGAGATCTCCTTACAAAGGATGGGGATCATTCTAAAGACCATTGAGGAGCAGATCCACAAAGAAGCCCAGTACATTTACTGCCTAGATGTGGACATGCTCTTTCACAGCCGCTGGGGGGCGGAGGTGTTTGGTGACCTGGTGGCTGCAATTCATCCTGGGTACTACAAGGTCTCCCGGGAGAACTTTCCTTACGAGCGCCGGCCTGCCTCCCAGGCAAACATTCCCCTGGACCAGGGCGATTTCTACTACGGCGGAGCCGTGTTTGGAGGGCTTGCTGAAAACGTTTATAGGCTGACCAGGACCTGTTACAGGAACATTTTGGTAGACAAAGCAAATAATATTGAAGCCGTCTGGCAGGAAGAGAGTCACCTCAATAAATACTTTATTTATAACAAGCCCACTACGCTGCTGTCTCCAGAATACCTGTGGGATGACGAGAAACCTCAGCCCCAAGAGATAAAACTCATCCGCTTTTCAACAGTGAAGAAAAACTACGCAGAAGTTCGGGACAATTAGGAATCTAAGGACAAAGCTTTTTAAGTTGATAAGCCCGTTAGTATCATTTGGTCTCCTAAAACAACTGCTTTTTACCTGAAGCTTTTGATTTTTAACGATTACACAAAGCCTGTCGTGAAAACTCAAAATGATTTTTGTTTGAGGAGGGAATGTTTCAATATTCACACAGCACAAGTTGAACCTTTGAAGCAGCAGGGGCTGCGGGAAAGAGCTTGCTGCGCTTTCTGAGCACCATTTGACGTCATACACCATCCCCCCCAAAAAAGTTTTTACAACACCATATCGTGCCAGAGAAGCGAGAGAAATTCAGTGAAAGCCTTGAATTTTATTTTTATTTTATGGACAATTCATGGAACAAATACGTCCTTATAAGATGATGTATAACAGAAATGACTGGTAAATAGAAAACGGGCGTCTTCCTTTGGTTATTGATTCTTATTTGCAGACTTAACAGCGTTTCTGAGCTACACAGAGCCACACACATGGTAAATACAAGCACATCTTAATGACGTCACACAAGGACACTAGAAGAATGGCTTGAGCCACCGGAACGCGACCAAACACCTTCAATGGAAAGTTTACACGTCATTATCTTGCGACAGATTGACTGTGCCGGTGTCACACTGTAACGCGTTCGAAACGTTTAACAGGTGGTGGGAGATTATTAACCTGGCATATATAGTATACCTTAAGAAACACACAGATATTTGTCTTAGATTTGGAATAAATAATGCACAGAATTTTAAATTCTAAATATTTCGTTTCTGCCGTGTCCTTGACCGTGGGAGCGGGGATAGGCGCTGCTTGGGTGGGATTGAAATCAGAAGGACTCGGGACGCAGGAGCAGCTGGATGGAGTTCTTAAACGAATTCCAGTCCTCCCTATTCCAAGTGTGGACGCTTTAGCTACAGACCTTACGCATTATCAGAAGAATCTGGCCGGAACGTCTAGAGCCACGTCAGTGATGAAATATGGTTTTCCTTCCCTGTCCAACATAAAAACCAGGGAGTCTTACGTTGTCTCCTACGACTCCAGAAACAGGACTGCGCACTGGGTAATTGAACAGCTTAACGGGGAGACCTTGACAGGAGACTCCGATAGAAAGTTCTGCGATTTTAAAGAGGACGACACTGTGCACAGTTATCACAGGGCGGCGAACGCAGATTACAAAGGCAGCGGCTTCGATAGGGGTCACCTGGCCGCCGCGGCAAATCACAAATGGAGCCAAAAAGCGATGGAAGAGACGTTTTACCTCAGTAACGTTGCGCCACAGGCAAGTCGAAACTTCTAAAATAATGGTGCTTCCTTACAATGACTCCACAGGAGAATCCTATGCCATGACAATTATGATTTTGATTTTAAGAAACTGATTGAAACTTGAGTACGAAATTGAGCGCTGTCGCGAATGACGTTTACTAACTAAAAAGCTAGGAAGTCAAGTCGCGGCTGTGCAATATTAAAGTGAAAAACATTTCTCGCGTAGCAAAAAAAAACTGCAGTCCGGTTTTAACATTATCATATAATGAACACGTCACTTCGGTTCTTAATGCTTACCTTCTCGGGGTGACTCTTGTATTCATGTATTTTTTTCCACAGAATCCGCATTTAAACCAGAACGCGTGGAATAACTTGGAGAAGTACTGCCGCGCGCTTACCAGACATTACCAGAACGTGTTTGTTTGCACGGGGCCACTGTATTTACCCAGGTGAGACCAGGCAACGTCCTGTAATGACCAGCTTCCAGGATGGTTAATGCCAGTTTCGAAATTCGTTTTGCAATTTATCTTCCTGAATAGGTTGGAAAGAGAACTTTATAGTAGTCTTAATAATAAAAAAATATATTTTTTGGACCTATTCTAAACCCGAAATTTGTCAGGTGCAGATGTACCAGAATCTAAGAATTATTTGACCTTTTTATCTGCTTCTTGATTTCATAACCTGTTTTACAGCAGGGCTTGTCTGTATTTTTCCCCAATGATTGATTTTTTTTTTCCTTCCCCAAACAAATTAATAGCCAAGTGGTACCGATTTGTGTAATGTCTTCTTTGACTTTAGTAGGAACAGACACAAACGCCTTCTGCTCAGAGATTGTGAAATCGAAGTTACTTTGCATGGCATGTTTAAAAACAACACCAAAGCGCTCGTTTTCACTGAAAATCGAGCCTGCTGTTCCGAATGAACCAGTACACGTCCAGTAACATTTGATCTGCACCTGGTAATCCAGACAGGAGCCAGATGGGAAGGTATATGTGAAATACCAAGTGCTGGGGAAGAACAATGTGGCGGTGCCCACACACTTCTTCAAGGTGGTCATTCTGGAGAAGCACAAAGGCGAGGTGGAGCTCCGTTCGTACGTGATGCCCAACGCGCCTGTGGACGACAAGATCCCGCTGGAGCGCTTCCTCGTGCCTATCGAGAGCATCGAGAGAGCCTCTGGGCTTCTCTTTGTGCCCAACATCCTGAAAAGCACTGGCAGCCTCCGGGCGATCACTGCCGGGGGACAGTGAAGCCACCCACAACACTGACATGCAAAGAAGTATCTGGTTCTTTAAGATCCAGGTATGCTTTTCCAAACTGTGAACTCCTGAAGCTTGTAAAATAAGTTAACGTGGGTGTTTTAATTTGCATGGTGTAAATCAAAAGCTAATAAGGGCGAACAGATGGGGTGATTTTAAAGACTTTAAACGGGTGTTATTTAAAAGATGAAATAATTTATGTATTTTAATTTTGTAATAAACCTGAACAACAAACCTCTGCTATATTTATGTCTGTTTCATGCACATACACCACCTTAACCAGTTTTTGTTCCACAAGTAATGAAAGCACAGTTAACACCAATGATGATGGGCCTAATACTTTTAATGGATTACACTGAATGTTTGGACATGGCTTTAATATAATACAATTTTGTAAAATCATGAAAATCACACCTTCATTAAGAAATAAACACCCCAGGCTGGTTTCTAAGCATCTTGGAAACTACCAGGAAAATACTCCTAACATAGAAGATATTTTTTTCCCAATGCTATGAATTCAAAGGTGGGATTAGGGAGTACACTACTAAGGAACTTCCATTTAATTCAGGAGGAGCTATTAAATTTCCTTTGTTGTGCTATGAAATCAGCTTCTTACTGTGTAAAAAAATACATGATCTTGTTCCCTAATATTATCATACATCACAACCCCATTCACACTGAAACTTGGAATGATCCCTACATGTTATTCTTTGTAACAAATAAAGCTGAAGGGAATTCCTGTCAGTCTAGGGTGCTGAAAAACAATCTCGCAAAAAATAAATAGACAAACAATACTCCAGTGTTTGCCATTGCTTTCACACGCTTTATGGAAAATGAAGCATATTGTGAAAATTCATATTTTTGCAGCAGTCAGTCTGTAGCTGCGCTCTGAACAGTTGTTGCAAGTTTGGGTCTCAGGCCAGACAGAGTAATGAGGATGGCTTCCTGAAAGCAGAAAAGAACAATTCAGAAAGTCAGGTGACAGTATAGAGCACTGGCTATCAACACTGGCACAGGAGCACCCAAGTCTTAAGAATTAACTTTTTATACTCAAAACTACTACGTATATCACATCTTATACATAAGAGTATAAAGAAATGTAGCAAACAGATCTTCCATTCCCTTTAACTTGAAAGTGGTTGCTGTCTTAAGTTTGTGTTGACTCTTAAAAGGTAATATACATTAAAGGTTTAGCATAATAACATTACAAGTCAGTTTTGCAATATTTGCACTGTAAGAAGAGCAAATGGAGAGAAAAGTTTCATCACAAAAAAAATATTATGTAAAAAATAAACATGACTGCTGTGCCTCATTATGTACCTCAGTGCGTATCGTCCTGCTGCCCTGACCAGGACAGGTGTTGAGATAGAGGTCAAACAAAACACTTGGGTCAGTGACCTCCAGGTTCTGGTCAACATCCACACTTGCTTCCAAGCCTTGCAGCCCTCCAAACACTATCAGCACGTGACTGAAGAAAACAGCGTATTAGGTTACAGACAAGCAGAAAACAAGCAGCCTGCTCTGCTGGAAAACCTCACTCCTGACTCCCTTTGGTACAGTTCTCAACTATGTTTGTGGAATGATGTCCTTCACACAATCAAAAAATAAATATACCATTTTCTACCTAGATGACTCAATACAATTACACAGTGGCCCTAGGTTTCAATAATTCTATAATTTTTCAAATAATACAGCAGTACAAAGGTCATTTCTTCTAATCAATTAACTTTTTTTATTAGTAGTTTACAATTTTGGTCCAACCTGGGGTTAGATTCTCATTTCTAGACATTTTTACTAAAAAAAAATAATATTAAGTGAAGTCAGGTGATATTGTTGTCTGGTTGCTGCTAAATGTCTACATATACATACATCACTTTTTAATAAATATAGCAAAATATATATCTTTAACTGACCAGTAGCAATAGACTGAGGTTTATAAAGTAATTTCAGTTGTTCACACATTCTTATTAGGAAATATAACAAATATTCTTCTTAGTTTAATTCTAAATTATCGTGTTTTGGCATGTAATGTTTTACAGAATCTTGCTTCAAGAGCTGTAGCAATTATGCAATATTTTTAAACTATTTCGTAACACAGATCATTTGTTCATAATTTTAGTGACGGCTTAAAAGATCCAGCCCATCCGAGGCAGGAGCCAGTTTGAAATCAGTGCACAGAATTCCAAAGAGAGTATCTGCCATAAATAAATCTGAAATAAATACAGTCCTTCTCAAAAACTGCTCACTTTCCAGGGGAACACAATGAAACCGAGCATGAAGCTTACTTAAAAGGGGAAAGGGTTACGTCGTCGATACTGGATCCTCTCTCCGACGTGCCAATTGTCAAATCGTACCCTTCCTTGTATGGGCATTCTGCAAACACGTTGCCTACACAGATCATAAAGAAATGATAAGACTGCAAATATAACTTTCTCATGGTAAGTTTATATTGTTCTAATTGTAAAAAACTACAAGGGCACAGACTCGTAAGTCCTACCATGTTTTCCACAGAATTACGTCTGATTACGGCTGATTATTTCTAATTAGCCCTTTAATGCTTCCTTGGTTAAATACAAACGAACAAACAGCAGTAATAATTTCTTACTAGTATGCTGGCTCTCTGATTGGGAGGGGCTGTGCTAGTTTATAAAAAACAGCTCTGACTTACTGAGGCATGACGCCAGACGGACACTGTAACCCCAGTACAGTCCAGCTTCTGTTCGAGGGACATGAGGTGCCACTACAACCCCTTTATGGACTTTGCTTTCTGAACAAACAAACAGACACGCTCTTAAAGTTCAGGAAAAACAGCAGGCACGCATTCCGATTTAAAAAAAAAAACTTCACATTTCCTGAAACTAAAACAAACCTTCAGCTTTATTATTATAAAAAGAAAAGAAGCAATTTAGTCCACTGACATTCCTGATTTGTTATTTTTTAAAAACCAATTTCTCTTAACTTCTCAGCCATCAGTAGTTGCTGATTTACATGGTTTGCTACAATTCTTTGCTGTCTGTGGTGACAGTAAGGTTGATTACCTGCACTCTGGTTTTTATCTAGGTGTACTGTAACCCTCAGACCAGCCTGAAGTCTTCGGTCAATCCTCACTTCCTATGGAAATAACCACAAATAGAAACACGGGTTTAGGTATTATTAAGTTTTCTACTGAATTATTATTAATTTGATCTTTTTTAGTCAATTCAAATTGGCCATTGTGGAGCAAACAAAATCCTTTGTTAAAAACAATTGTGCAAAATTAATAAAACGTCATACACTATTAGAGCCATACGGATCTCTACCACAGTGAACATGCTGTTGTTGAATTACTTGAAATATCCACCATACTAGGATTTACATGATTTTCAGAAACTAAAACTTTCATAAACACTATTGAATTTGCATATGTTGTAGATTTCTTTGTTCACTATTGCGAATTTATTAAACTTAACTGAGCAGTAAAAATGTAATGCATATATTTCCCACATGTAAATAAAGCCGATTAGTTGTGTGATATAGTGGCTATATTCAATTTTATTTTTTTCATTTTCTCTCCAATCACCAGCACGATTTAAGTATAATTTTGGAATTGTGATCTTTGTCAGGGGAGAAATGTAGATGTGAAATCGTAAAAATTTATTCTATAAACCAAGAAGGACATCAACAGCCAATAAAAAATGCTTTTAAAAGGGTCTGTAGGTGGCACCATGACAGGAATTCAAATACTGTCACATGCAAAACTGGTGCAAGTGTTAGACAGGTGAGACCGACAGTTTGGTTTCAATCCATGTCATGGGAGCTATATGGGTGCTTGCAGCTTCTAATATAGATTTTGTGGCACCCATTAGGAATTGAAACACTTACGAGAGCCTTATTTTAATTCAAAAGCAGTGTATAATACAGAGATAAAGTTGCTTAAGTGTGTTGTATGGAGCCTCACCCAAGCTGTCATAGTCATCATCAGCATAAACAGAAAATCTATACAAGTATCTTAACCCTTAGAAGGAAAGAAAATCTCATTACACCAGCTGATCTACCATGCCTTGAAAAAAGATGCTCAACGCCAGTATTATTCTTTAATCTGCAAATTTCCCTTGGTTTTTACATGGTTCACCCACTCCCTCGGACTGCCCACCTTTCTCATGCCACAGTTTACAAAGGAGCCCTTCCCAGGCCTGCTTGGCCGATCCAAAACCACTCCTTCCCGAAACTCTGCCTCCTCATCTGTCCTCATGTGATGAGGGCTGTCCAAGGGGTTCAACAACCCTGGAAAGAAAAGCAAGCCTTCGTTTTCCTTTTTCATGAAAACCACAGTCTTATGGCAGAAGGCAAGAATGACCTCCTGTAGCGCTCCCTGTCGCACCGTGGATGAATCAGTCTATTGCTGAACGTGCTCTTCATTTCTACAAGCCTGTCATAGAGGGGATGGGAGATGTTGTCCATGATGGCCTCTAGTTTGGACACCATTCTCCTCTCAGTCACTACCTCCAAAGGGTCCAGGTGAGACCCAATGACAGAGCTAGCAAGCAATGACCTCTGTCATTCTTGCCTTCTGCCATAAGACTGTACAACGCATCCACCTTGCGTCTGGGCAGAGGCAACATTGACAGTGACCTGTTTCTGGACTGAATGCATCTACACATCTTCTGCTACATCTGTTCTCTTTCTTTTCTTTTCCCGTTTACAACCATTTTTTGTGCAATATATGCCAGGGACCCATGCAATACATTTATATTTATATCTATATTTATATTCATTTGTGTGATACAATTTTTCTGCGTCCTGTTCTGTTCTACTTTGTTCTTTGTGTGTCCGGACTGCGAGTAACTCTTTTAGTGCACCCCTCACTGTACTGATTGTATTGTATGTATTGTACTGTTATTATTATTGTATCATTCGTTACACTGTGGCTGTGTTGTCTGTGTAAAGCTGCTGTTGCACTGCAATTTCCCTCACGGGATCAATAAAGTATCTATCTATCTATATGAAGCTGGTTGAGAAGACTTCAAACAGGGGGCTTTGATTCAAATTGAACCATTAGTAGAGATGTGGTTAGCAGGCCTCTTCTGGGTGAATAAGGGTCACAGGCAAATGCAGCTGTCTGGTAAAAATGTTCATGAAGATGCCAATATTATTTTTCTTTTCTGGGGTGGCTTCTTCAGGTGGCTTCACACTGAAGAAGGCACCACGGCTGGAAGTTTGAATATACCTTTACCTGTTTCTTTGGTCCCTACAGATGCTGACACAGCTACCTACTCTAACTTCACTCTTTTTTTTTCTCTATTTCTTTATAAAGAAAAAAAAAACATTTTACTCATAACAGTGACATAAACTCACCAGCAAACTGCAGGTCTTGGTGCTTTGGAAAGAAAGACTTGCGCAAGTACCTGGACAGAAACAGAAATGGCAAATTCTCAAACACAAACCACAAGCAAGTGAGAGCGAGTCAGAAGCAGAAATGGAATCTTATTATTTGGCATATTTTCTTTAGTTAATAAAGCACATTTAAATATGAGTAAATCAGCACAGCTAAGCAAACCAAAATTGCATGGTGCCCCTCGATTTCATTGAGGCAAAAGAAACAGTTGTAAATTCAAAACCACCTGAACTAATTTATAAGTCTATGTGTGAAAAACTATTACAATGCACATAGATCATAGCTGTCTAATCCTAGTCCTGAAGGGCCAGTGTATTTGCAGTTTTAAGCCATATAAGTTCTTAATGACCTAAATGTGTTTATTATTGTTTTATTTGGACCAACAACCTTCAACAACCTTTTTCATACTTTCAGTCCGTTATTTAGATGCTACTGCTGTAATGGCATCTAAAGACCTTATATACACACTTATCGTCCAGGACCAAGGCTGGACAGCCTTTTTATGTCAAAAAATATTTTTACAGGAACAAGAAATCGTTTTATTCCATGCTGAAAAGAGAAGAAAGAAAACACAACGTTTCGGCCGTGGAGACTTCTGAAACATTTTTACCCACTAAAATATTTCTACAGTACAACTATTGACCAGGCAGCTCCAATTATTGACTGCAGTGCTGGAATAATTGAGTTAGAAACCAGTACATCTATATAAAGACAAGTCTGAAAAATGCCTTGTGCATCTAAATAGTGAAAGTTTTCAAATGGTTTTGTTTCTAGCTGTAGAACGTTCTAACTTACTGTGGGCATTCCAGGTACTGTAGGATGCGTGCGAGCTGCACACAGGCTTGACCCTTCTTTCCAATCCCTTTAAACTCGCCTTCCACACTCCTGAATGCAAAGAAAATAATGTCAGTGGTATCATTTTGAATTTTTCATTCTCTTATGCCAGTGTATGAAGTCTCACTGTTCTATAAACATCAATAAATAGCCAAAGATCTTTCAGGGAGTAACAATTGTATTGATGCAAAAACTACCACAGTCCTCCAAACACACAATTGAATGCCACGCAGTGGTGCATCAAACCATTTAACTCTGTGATTAAAGTTTACAGTAGGTGGCTGCAAACATTCAATAACTAATGAGGTAAAACCCACAGATCAGAGCATGTTACCTATGAAAAGCAATCACTTCTACAAACAACTGATGATTCTGAAACAAGACCCGGAGAGTCTTCAGGCTTACTTTGCATCTTCCCCTTGCTCGTCAAACACCACAATCTCGTCGACACAGAAGACAGTGCAGGCTCGGGCTATCTGCCCGGCCAGGTAAGTTCGCAGTTCAGGAGACTGGGCATTGTCCAGCACTGACCCAGGCAAGGCAATGCTGACTGTGTAATGGCGACCTGCAATCAGAAGCCACATGACAATCATTTTCGGAGCTAGCTAAAATCTAGTTACATTTTCAAGGCAGGTTAAAAACAATCATCTAATGACTCTCAGTGGCCTTTTGATTTAGCGTGTCTGATTAACTGCTCAACACTGTGTTACACATAAA